ATATCCGTTACAAATGCGGATAATCTTACGTTAATATTTACTATTAACAAATAAATTTGGTCCAAAAAATTAATCAATCAATTGACCGAAACCGAAGCCGAGCGACGACGACGACGACGACGGCGCGAGGCTTGCTTTCTTCTTAATTCTTTAAGAGCTACAAGAAGAGCAATTATATATATACCCACCAAAAATCTTTTCCTCTTCCAATATGGGACAATGTCTCATTGTCAAGAGGGAAAAACTTAAAATTTTACTCAAAAATTTCATTTTTCCCTCAATTTTCCATTCACCCTCATTTTAATACTATTTCATCTTAAATAAAAAACCTCAACGGTTCCAAGTATCCGTCCTGAGGTTCCGAGAACCTGCGGGACGTGGTGCCTTCAATTCTCAGCTTTAAATTCCGTCTGTTTCCTTCTTGCTCTTTGTCACTTACATTACAAGTCTTCGATATAAAAATATGTTTCTAGTCTGATTTCCAAACACTGTGTTATCAGTGAATAAAGTTGCAATAAGTACTACAAACTTGAAACATAAGCATTTCAAATTAGTTGTTAAATTTTCAAATTCATGACCTAACTGTATGACATGCCCAATTTTATCCCCTTTGATAAGATACCAACAAACTGCCCAAGAAAGGAAAGACTACCTTCCATCTTTGTTTCTTAACTGTTTTACTAATTGAATAATTGACTGCAATTAGTCTAAGCACATTCTTAATCCTTACGTTGAGCGCTTTTCGTTAATATGACATAAACTCATAACTCCATCAAGTTTGTTAAACAGTTATTAGTATGTTTTAGAACATGGATTTTAACTACTTTTTATTATTATTCTTGTAACCATTTTTAGGCTTTCGAGTAAGGGAAAATATTTTGAAGTATTTTTTAACACGAGGAACATGAAAATAATTAGAAAATGTATCATTAACATAGAATGCTTGTTAATGGAATTGAGGAAAAGGTGAAAAGAAATAAGGAAATTACTTCTTGATATATGCTGATTTATATTGTCATCTTTTCTTTAAAAAACTCATTTGTTGTAAGCATTAGTAGTGAATTGAAGAATGTGATGATCTATTTATTAATGTTAAAGGGACTTATCAATTTAACTTAAGCTATAAGATATATCTGCATGAATCATAAGTGAATAATACAACAACAATAACAAACATGTGTAATCCCAAAAGTAGGATCTGGGGAGGGTAATGTGTACAAAAACCTAATTACCCTTGACTTGTGAAGGTAGAGAGGTTATTTCCGATAGATCATTGGCTTAGTAAATACATAGTCACAACACAAAGGAAATACAGAATATGAAGAATTAATTAGCATGAGATTTTAATTAAATATATGCAATTACAAATTTTAAATTAATGATATATGAGAGGGAGGTTTAATCTGAAAGTTTGGTAGAATCACAAATTTCTTATAACATATGCTGGTGATGGAACAACAAGAAGTGATTCTGATCCACAGACAAATGCAAATCTCCAAACTCCTTTAATTCTCACATGGTGTGTTTGTATTATATAAATTTATGTTTCAGTTAGAATCAATCATATCCCCTCAGCTAATCACATGGAGAGCCCAAACACCAAATCTACTCAAAAGGTGAGAATTATGATTTCTAGCTACTTGTGTTTTTTTCCTGACACATTTATTTAATATTTGCTCCAATTTCAACTTTTTGTTTTTGGCTTCTTTAAATTTCAGCTTGTGAAGAACAGTTCACAGTCTGCTATTCAATCTCCTGGAAGATCAATGAGATGTAGTTCTCCTCAACTTCAGTTGATGAAGAACAGTAATGTGGTACGACACAATTATATATTTCAAGTCTTATTTTCATTTAGTGTTTCACACCTTATAATTAGTACAATTATGAAGGGAGACCTGGAGCAATGGTAAAGTTGTTTCCGTGTGACTTATACGTTATCGGTTCGAGCTGTGGAATCAGCCACTGATACTTACATCAGGATAGACTGCCTACATCATATCACTTAAGATGCGACCCTTCTCGGACTCTGCGTGAATGCGGAATACTTCGTGTATCGGACTGTCTTTTAACATTATTAGTCAATCACATGTTGGTATAAAACTATTAGATGTACTCATACAGCTACAAGTACATAAATATAAGAATACACGTTTATTTATAGCTCCTACTTAAAATAAGTAGCTGTGTAAGAACTACGAAATAGGAGTTAGATAGAATATAGAATAAGTGTCCAAACAAAAACCAGTCCCAATAGAAAGGCAGTGTAAATTGGATTGAAAAGTAATACTGCTCAGACTCCCTAATATAAGATCCCATCCTAGAAAGACTAAAAAAAGATTCTGTATTGATTAAGATAAATCTATTTTTAATATAAAAAATTTTAAAAATTAAAATTTCATTAACTTTATATATCGATCTGACCAGGAAAAAAAATCTATTTCTTATGATACTTCTTAAATGATAATTGAATGAAATTGAAAGGGGTATGAATTAATCGTAGATGCAATATTTATGTACCACCAGTGGTAAAGAATTTTTACATTATTACTGCATCTTTAGGTGTAATAAGCTACTCACTTTTTTTTCACATTATCAACCCGTACATTTACTGTAGACAGTTATAGAAAAGACATAGGAATCATTTCTTATTTAATTGAACTTTTATAAAAAGGTAATGTTTTGATAAATCTTGACATTATTTTCTATGACGAGAAATATTTGTATAATGTTATGTCTCCTTCTAACATGCTGCAACATATACTTAACTTTAAAATGGCCTTACAGTTGAGAGATGAGCCAAAAGAACGATCGGTTGACAAAAACAAGGTAAAATATTGAGTCAGATGAATTAAGTTTCATTCAAAATCAAGCACAAAATGAAAGAGCTATTAATTAAATTCAACTTAATTACGTATAGGTTCAACAAAAGCCATTAGCAAAGGATAATACCAGACCAGTGGAGATCAAACTTCATACTCAACAAAGAGCAAGGAGACGTGCTTTGTTCAATTACTCGGTAAGTAATTAACTGAAGCAGTTTATTCATGTCACTAAAAATGGCTAATTTCACACTAGCAAGAATTTCGAAACATTAGGCCTACTATAGTAACAAAGGTCACTATTTATCCTCGGGGTGGCCGAGTTGGTGGAGCAGGGGCTTCCCACAATTTGGGAGTTCGAAACCCACTTGCATACCTCCTCAGTCGAGCCCGTCGCACGAAGCTTGTCTAGTATAATTTATTCTTCTATGTGATTTGCGTGTTATTGCATAGAAGTGAGGTTTATCTTATGGCACCCGAAAGGTAGCGGCTGGGATTCCCTTGTTAGTTGCTTTAGGAACCATACCTGAAAAGTGTGGCCTTTTAAGTTAACAAATGCCGCACTTCAAAAGTGTAATGTATCCTTTACCTCATGAAACATTGCCTTATACGAAAAAGATTACGCCTGTTTAAGTCATCCCCGAAACGCGTTGCCTTAGATTAAAAAAGTCATGACCTTTGATCAAAATTAACACTTTCTAATAGTCTCAAGTCTCAACGTAACTTTTCCGATGTAGTTAAAGACCTAATATATTGTACTTAGTGATTACTCAAGTCGTCCTAAACATGATCTGTTAGTATTAATTGTTTTTTTTAAAAGAAAATCCCCTTATCATTGCTCTAATTTCACTTACAAGAAAATGAAAACCTTGAATACTGTTATAGAATACTACTCTAACAAAAGAAACACAGGTGGCAACCAAGTTTTACTTCATAGAGCAACAGAAGAAAACAGTAGAGAAGGTGCAAAAGGTATGAATTTCTTTAAAAAGTAATAAGTTGACATTCACACTCTTTATTATATAAACCAGAATTATTTCTTATGTGTAACAAACACAATTTAATCTGGGACAGATGATAGAGGAGGAAGAAGTTCGTATTCTAAGAAAGGAAATGATACCAAGAGCTCAATTGATGCCTTTTTTTGATAAGCCCTTCTCTCCACAAAGGTATGATAGTTAAGCAAAACAAAAAGTTAGTTCTGTACTCCATTATTTTCCTCTTTCAACTAATTAAGTAGAAAGTTGATCAAATTTATAAACTTCATATGAATATTTTTCTATTAGAAACAAATGAAAATATTCTAAAGACTTAACTTCTTATAAAATATAATCGGAAAAAAAACAAGCGTTTATTATATGAAGGATAGTGATTAGGGAGGTATGATTAAACAACAACCTGATTTATCAGCAACAGTTCGAGAAGTTAAACATTATGAGTTCAAAATTTTGAGTTTTTTTAAAAATATCAGTTACCTAACGTTTATACTGTTTTGGGGGGTTTCACACATATATATATCTATGTCAAAAATAATGAGTTCAGTTGAATCCACCACTAATTGCGACTTATGTTCTTGTACCTCAGATCAACAAGGCCTTTGACAATTCCAAGAGAACCAAGTTTCATGCTGAATGGCAACTGCTCTAGCTGTATGAACTTCCCAATTTTCAGCACAATGAAGCAAGTCAAGTGACTTAGAAGTCTTCTATTGTAGATTTATGCTCTGAACAACTAGTTTCTTTTTTCTTTTTCTTGACCATTTCTTTTCATTTTTGAATAAAAAGAGTTTGTTTTGCATATCAGTTCTTTTGTTTTGGTAATTTTGATAGGTTATTGTAGATTCTAGCTAGGTGGTTAGGATCTACTTGGATGTGGTGTAAATCTTTCCCATTGTTGAATAATGAAATATAATCCACGTTAATTTCTTATGTTATTTTTTCTATTTGCTTTATATGTAATTGTGTGCTAGTTAACCTATTGTAATGACCCAACCAATTGTTTTGAGTATTTTAGCCTCGATCCCCTATTTATTGCCTCCTCTATATTGTATTATGGTTATGTGTGTAACGACCCGACCGTTCGTTTTGAGAGTTAGAGCCCCGAACCCCTATTAGCGGCTTTCCCCATATCTATTTATGCTATTGTGACTTGTCGGGATGATTGATTTTGAGTTTCGGAGTATTTTGGGACAGTTAGTCCCTAAATGAGAGTTTAAGTCTTAGAATTTGGACCGTAGTCAGAACTGTATGAAGACGGATCCGGAATGGAATTCCGTCGACTCCGTTAGCTCCGTTGAGTGATTTTGATCTTAACAGCGTGTCCGAAATATGTTTTGGAGGTGTGTAGTAGATTTAGGCTTGAATTGGCGAAAGTTAGATTTTCGGCGATTTCGACCGATAGTGAAAATATTGATATCGAGCTCAGAATGGATTTTCGAAAGTGGATGTAGATTTGTAGTGTCATTGGTGACCTGTGCATAAAATTTGAGGTAATTCAGACTAGATTTGATGTGGTTCGGCGTCGTTTGTAGAATTTAGAAAATTTCTAAGTTCATAGGCTTGAATCCGTGCTTAATTCATGATTTTTGGTGTTGTTCGATATGGTTTGAAGGCTCGACTAAGTTCGTATGGTGTTATAGGATTTGGTTGGTAGGTTTGGTTGAGGTCCCGGGGGTCTCGGGTGTGTTTCGGATGCTTAACGGAATAAAATTGGACTTAGGAAACTCTGGTACTTTTGCTCGTTCTGCTGTAATCGCACCTGCACAAGGCTGCCCGCAGGTGCGAGCAAATTGGCGCAGAAGCGGAAAAATGGAGGAGTACCAGGGGTCGTAGATGCGAGGTGATTTTCGTATCTACGATGCCCGCAGATGCGTTAGGGGTCTTCGCAGGTGCGCAAGGTCTGCAGAAGCAGAAGGGAATTCCGCAGGCGCGCATGCGCAAATGCGGCCCTTTCATCGCAGGTGCGAAGGCAAAGGGGGTAAGTGATTTGCGCAGATGCGCACATTTTGCTGCACAAGCGCACCCGCAGGTGCGAGCCCAGGCTCCGCAAGTGCTAAAATACCTGGGCAGTGGTTAAAACCAAAGGGCTTCGCGATTTTTGTCATTTTTGGACTTTGTAACTCGGTTTAAGGCGATGTTTGAGAGCATTTTCGAGGTATTTCTTGAGGTAAGTCCCTTGTCCTTATTTTTTATCAATAATCATGCTTCCTTATGTATTTTCTCACCTAGTTAGTGTGTATTTAAGGTGAAAATTGGAAGTTGGAGGCTAGGGATTTGGGAGTTTGAATTGTGGATTTGGAGGGCCATTTGGTGTCGGATTTTAATAAAAATGATATGGATAAACTCGTGAGTGAATAGGCTTTCGGATTTTGTGACTTTTACCCGATTCCGAGATATGGGCCCGTGTCGACTTTTTAGGGAGTATTTCGGATTTTTTGTTAAAGTATTGATTTAATTAATTAGATGAGTCTATTGTGGTTGTAATTATGATATGTAATTGCTTTTGGCTAGATTTAGGCCATTCAGTGCCGGATATTTGTGGAAAGGGCATTCTTACGGAGTGATTGAGCTTGACTCGAGGTAAGTGGCTTGCCTGACTTTATGTGGGGGAAATCCCCTTAAGATTTGGAATTATTGTGCTTTGTGAGCGCCGTGTACGTGGGGTGACGAGTACGTACAAGGGCTAGTTGTGAAAAACCCGATTTTCTTACTCAGCAGCAACATGTTTTCTTGTTATTTTGAGTTATACCATTTTTATGAGTACTAATCTATTTTCATTCTTAATTGAATTATTCCAATATGTGTTGCTATCATGTTTAGTCTAATACAACATGTCTACGTGTCTTAATTATTTATGTGAATTATGTGCAGCATGCTTAATGAATTTCTTGCTTCTTCCCTAACTGGTACTTAGTCTAAATTGTAAAAATTTCGTGATGTAGTTGTGTTTCTATCATCCCCCCTGCACATTTATTTTGGGACTACGGAACGGTATTCCGGGAGATCCCTCTGCACATTTATTTTGGGACTACGGAACGGTATTCTGAGAGATCCCCCTGCACATTTATTTTGGGACTACGGAACGGTATTCCGGAGATCCCCCTGCACATTTACGTTTGGGACTACGAGACGGTATCTCGGAAGATCCCCTGTTGTGTTTATGTGTACTAAGCTGTTACCTTCTATGATTTTATTGTTGTTAAATTTCAGCCTTTATTTTTTTGCGGTATTACACTCTATATTTTTTTTTCATATTTACCAGTAGGGCCTTGACCTGACCGAGGTTAGAGTTGGCACTTATTGGGTACCGATTGTGGTGTACTCATGCTACTCTCTGCACATGCTTTTCATGTGCAGATCCAGGTGTACCTTATCAGCCGCACTATTAGTGAGCCAGGACAGTTTTGGAGACTTCAAAGTATATCTTCCGCGTCCGCAGACCTCAGAGTCCCCTTCTACTCTTTCTCTTGTCCATTATCTTCTGTATTTTTCTTTGTTAGACTCTGATGTATAGAGACACTAGATTTTTCTTTCTGTAGTTTATGATTCACGATGTTCCGGGTTTTGGGATTTGTTGTGTATTTTTGAATATTTGGTTAAATATATATATTTTTATTTCATTATTCCGCAAAATATTAGACTTACCTAGTTATAGAGACTAGGTGCCGTCACGACGTCACACGATGGGGAAATTGGGTTGTGACAAGTTGGTATCAGAGCTCTAGGTTCATAGGTGTCGTGAGTCATAAACCGGTTTAGTAGAGTCTCGCGGATCAGTACGGAGACGTCTCTAATTATCTTCGGGAGGCTATGAAACTGTTAGGAAAATTTCACTAATTTGATTCCTTGTCGTGCGAAAAAAATTTGTTGACTTTAAAGATTATAAACTTCTGTATTCTATTCTCTCACAGATGATGAGGACACGTACATGCGAATCTGATGACCAGGCACCCCCGCGCCCCCTGCTAAAGCCGCGAGAGGCCGGGGCCAGGGTAGAGGCCGAGGACGTCCACGTGGTGCAGCCAGAGCACCCGCACGAGCTACTGCAGAGGAGCCCCCAGTAGCTCAAGCTGGAGGGCAGACACTTGAGATACTTGTTGCTGCACCAGCCCTCCAGGAGACTCTAGCCCAGTTTCTGAGCATGTTCAACACCTTAACTCAGGCTGGATTGATTCCACTTGCTCCTGCCACATCTCAGGCCGGGGGAGGAGCACATACCCCCATTTCCGGTACTCCAGAGCAGCGGGTTCAGGTCGACCAGGTTACAGAGATTGTACCAATATAGCTGGCAGCTCCAGCTCAGCCCGAGGTTAGGGCAGCAGCTTTTGAGGCGGAGCAGCTCAGACTTGAGAGGTACAAGAAGTACCACCCACCTACCTTCAGCGGATTGACTACAGATGATGCTCGTGGTTTTCTGGAGGAGTGTCATTGTATTTTCCGTACTATGGGTGTAGCAGAGACGAGCGGGGTTTCTTTTACTACATTCCAGCTTAGACAAGCAGTCTATCAGCGGTGGCGTGCTTATGAGTTGAGTAGTCCGGCTGAGGCAGATTCACTTACATGGACTCAGTTCTCGGACATGTTTTTGAGAGAGTATGTCCCTCAAAGCCTCATGGACTCATGGCGCGAGGAGTTTGAGCAGCTGCGCCAGGGTGCTATGACTGTGTCAGAGTATGCAATTCGCTTCAGTGATTTGACCCGACATGCACCGGCCTTAGTTGCCACAGTTCGAGAGATGGTTCGACGGTTTATTGAGGGTCTTCATCCCAGCATCCGGAGTAGTATGGCCAGGGAATTGGAGATGAATATTTCTTATCAGCAGGTTCTGGGTATTGCCAGGAGATTCGAGGGCATGTTTGCCCGGGATAGAGAGGAGAGGGAGGCCAAGAGGTCTCGAGAGGCTGGTTATTATTTGGGAGCTCGTGTCCCAGCAGCTCGCCATGGTAGGGGTTATGTGAGCCTCCCCGTTCATTCAGCTCTTCCAGCCTCCAGCGGTGTTCCAGCTCCTTCTAGACCCAGGAGCCATATTATGCACTCCCGGTATCTAGTGTGCCTCCTGCACGGGGTGTTCCTAGAGGCCAGTCCAACAGACTTCGCCCGAGCCAGTCACAGCAGCCACGCCCTCCTAGAGCTTGTTTTGAGTGTGGCAACACTCTTCATATGGTGAGGGATTGCCCGAGGATTAGGAGGGGTGCACCTCTATAGAATTTTCAGCCACAGCGTACTCCACCGGGTCCTCAAGCTATTATTACAGCACCAGCTGCCACCCCACCTGCTCAACCAGGTCGAGGTGGAGGTCGGGGAGGTAGAGGTCCCCCTAGAGGGGGAGGCCAGGCCAGATATTATGCACTTCCTGCTCGTACAGAGGCAGTTACTTTTGATTCTATCATTACAGGTATTGTTCCGGTCTGTCCTAGAGATGCGTCAGTATTATTTGACCCAGGCTCTACATATTCTTATGTGTCCTCTTATTTTGCCCTGTATTTTGGCGTATCTTGAGATTCTTTGAGTTTCCCTATTTATGTATCTACTCCTGTGGGAGATTCTCTTGTTGTGGACCGCGTGTATCGGTCGTGTTTAATTGCTCTTAGTCATTTTGAGACCAGAGCCGATTTATTATTGCTCAGCATGGTGGACTTTGATATTATTTTAGGCATGGACTGGTTGTCGCCCCATTATGCTATTCTTGATTGTCACTGTAAAACCGTGACGCTGGCTATGCCAAGTTTACCGCGATTAGAGTGGAGAGGTACCTTAGAGTATACTCCCAGCATAGTTATTTCTTTTCTTAAAGTCAACGAATGGTTGAGAAGGGGTGTGACGCGTATCTATCTTATGTGAGAGATGTCAATATTGATACCCCTATAATTGAGTTAGTTCCAGTAGTGAAGGACTTTCCAGATGTGTTTCCAGCTGATCATCCGAGCATG